AAGACTTCCTCCCCTTTCCCCCAAGATGTTCGTGTTAATAGAAAACATAGTGTTCATTATCTTGAGTTACTGTAGTCAGGAAATACTTCATTGAATAATTGAAATGTAACCTGAATCTTAAAGGCTGGATAAAAAATAATGTGGTGGATATCTGAGGACTATAAAATTAGTTTAGAAATGGAAGTATGAGAATCCAAAATGTTTGTCCAAGAGCAGTAAAGTAGTCCCTCCTTATCTATGGTTTTGTTTTCTGTGGGTTCAATTACCAGCATTCAACTAAGGCACAAAAATGTCAAATGTGAAATTTCAGAAATACTTCAAAGGTTTTCCATCATGGATGAGTGGCAGGATGAAACTTCTGCCTTCCCATTGGATGGCTCTTGGTCTGCTGTATTCATGCTGTCTACACTACTTGGTCCTGAGTTCTTTAGTAGCTGTGTGGCTTATCAGGTCAACTATTATAGTAGCACAATGCTTGTGTCCAATTCACCCTTGTTTAACTTAATAATGGCCCCAAAGGGCAAGAGTAGTGATGCTGGCATATTGCTAACATTGTTCTACATTGTCATTAGTTATTGTTAATTTCATACTGTGTCTAATTTATAACTTTACTATAGGTAAGTTCATATAGAAAAAAGTCAGTATGACTCATGGTATCAAGCATCCACTGTGGAGGTAGAGCTTGGAATAGAGTCCTAGTGATTAAGGGGATAAATACTGTAAAAAGTGACATAGGATATGATCAGGTGGGAGAGATTGGTTGGGAGTGTTTAAGTGCAGGCACCAATTTAGAGCTGCTGTTGAACTTAAACATAGATAATGGAGAACGGGTAAAAGTTGTTGGAAAGGGAAAGCTAGGTAAGATAAATTATCACAGAGCTACATAAGAGGCTAGAGACAAGATAGGAAAATTGAACAATAATTGGGTTGGAGGTTAATACTCTTAGAGGGGAAAGAGGAGCAAAAATAACATGGGTTTGGGAGACATTCAGAAGAAAACAAAATGACCGGACTTGATGGCTAACTTGGTAAGGACAGAGGTTTAAAAAGGATTAAAGTTGGATGAAAGTATTTCAAATTGTATACAGAAATAGTACACTGTACCCCATGATAGTATTAATGTACACTGCTATGATTTAATAAAAAAATAAAATAAAATAAAGGATTAAAGAATTACTCAGTCAAAATGAAGGGATTTACTCAGTCAACTAGAAGAAAATAAGAAAACTGCAATGAACCATTACTTCTTTTTAACAAGCTGCTTTTTGTTAATGGAATAGAGCAATACCATCGTAGGATGAGAATTATGTTAATATTCTGGTCCAAATGTCTTTGTGGTATAATGATTTTTGTTCTTCTGGGTAGAT